AACAGAAATATGTACAGTGTTCTGAGGGCTTTGATGAAGCAGTGACTAATTCCCATGGTGGGGTGGGCAGATGGCTTATAGAAGAAGTGACATACGAGCTGAGACTTGAAGATGGTTGTCTTAGGCTGGATTCTCTAGAGAAGTAAAACCAGTGAAGTGTCTATATACACGAGCACACATGCATGCACACACACACATATCTAAAGTGAATGGCTCATGTGGTTGCAGAGGCTGGAAAGTCCCAAATCCACGGGTCAGGCTGGAGGTTTCTCCAGACTCACGTATCTACAGGGGCTGGCAAACCAAGATACAGATTGCGGTGGCTGATGAATCCCAAGATCAGCAGGCAAGCTGCTAGCTCAAGTCCCAAGAACTAGAGGTCAGAAGAAAGGAACAAGTTGCAGGATCCAGACCAAGCAAAAGCCCCTGAGCCTTGCCAGAAAGTCCATCTATACTGGATGCAGGCCACACTCCCAAGCATACTCCCTTTCCATTGATTGGCTCTCACAGCAGATCCCATCATGGAGGTGATCACATCACATCAGATCTGATCATGGAAGTGATTATGTCATTATATGACTGCCAAACCAGATCATAGCTGCCCAGCCACTGAGAATCATGGTCCAGGCACGTTCACACACAACCTTAACCATCACAGTTGAGTAGGAGCTTAGCAGGCAGAGACGGGCACGTTCCTCTCAGACTCTGTAGCTTTATTGATCAAGGAGAGCGGTCATTGTTCCCAAATGACCGATCACGTACAGCCTCTGAAAATGATTTCCTTTGTGGCTTTGGACAGGGCCATTAAAAATCTGGAAGTCTCTGTTTGTCCTCTCATTAAATTGAGGGAGAAACATCAACTACTTAGAACCACTGGGAGAACAAATCAATTTCTGTGGTTTGCAAGAGCAAGTGTTTACTTGTTAGAAAGCCTCCAGAGAGAACACATGGAAGGAAACGGAACATGGGTATGAGAACAAATGGGCAAGAGCAAGTAGAAGCAAATGGATTCGGACTCTGATCAGCCCCTGATGGATAGATCTTCTGCCGCTGATTTCCCAAACGCCCCGCAGTTTCGACTTAAAGCTTGTTCAATATTTTAAAACTCATTTAAAACCAATTTTTGAGTTTGCTTTTAAAAAAATTATTGAATTAATCCAAAAATACTTTAAGTTTTGAGTCAAATGGCCTAACTGATGGGAAGAGCTGATTGGCCCCGGGAGGGACGGGCCTGCCTGGCTGGATCACGACGTAACATCAAAGAACACAAACCGCTCAGCTTTAAAAGGGAGGACTCTGGAGAACGGTCACAGTGGCTAAAAGAAGAAACCTTACAAGTGAATTGAATTGAACGGAAAATGTGAAGGGGGCTAATGAGTGCATTTTGACTATTAGAAAAATTCAGACATGTTGTTGCTACTGTTAATTGTTGTCGCATAGATTCCAACTATGAGGATGTGCCTAAAGTCTTCTGTTCCAAGGGGGATGCAATGAGCCCTGTGTTGGCAGATGTGTACAGTATGCTCCTTTCAAAGACTTCAGGTCAATTACGTTACAGAGGTCATCCACCTGGAGGTCACAGCCATTGGGAGGAATGTGGAGAACAGAAAATAGGCTGGTTCTATTAAAGTAATAACCTCCGTTACCAAATGGAATTAGGTCTTTTGTTTGATGGAATACCTTGTTTAGTGTATCCCTTTCTATGTTCAAGAGTATGAGAACTGTCATGGTTCAGTGGCAGAATTCTTGCCTTCCTTGCAGGAGATGTAAGTTCGATTCCCAGCCAATGCACCTCGTTTGCAGCCACCACCTCTCTGTCGTGGAGGCTTGTGTGTTGTTATGATGCTGAACAGGGTTCAGGGGCACTTCCAAACTAAGACAGACCAGAAAGAAAGGCCTGGTGATCTACTTCCAAAAATCAGTCAATAAAAATCCTGTGGATCCCAACAGTCTGATCTGCAGCGGATCATGGGGATGGTACAGGACTGGGCAGCATTTGGCTCTGCTGTGCATGGGGTCACCATGAGTTGAGGCCGACTTCATGGCCGCTAACAACAGTAGCAACAGCAACATGTTCAAGAGTAGCTATGGTTGAAATAAGAAAACTTTGGAAACTGGGTGAATCGCCCCACAGAGAATGTGCTGGTTGTTCTGTTTTCTTTTCTCTTCTCTGCTCTGAACCTGGAAAGCTGACTCCCATGGGCTATGTCCCTAGGGTCTCTTGTGATTGGCTTTCAGTTGAGTTTGGCCAAGAGATCAGAGGGTAGAAGGAAGCAGTCAAGGTGTCTGTCCTTCCTTTTTCTACTTTGGGCCCATTTCTAGCAATAGTTGGACCCCCCACGAGACACCTCTTGTCCTGGCCCCACAGTTCCAGCACTGGGTCATGTAACACCTTTTCCTCCTCTTGTTGCTTCAGGCCCATGGTAGTTCTGCTTCCCCACTGTTGCTAGACACGTCATTTTTTGTTCTTGTAACCTTACCCACACCTCCGTAGGTCATCTCTTTCCTTAAAATCTCTTCACATGCCCACTAGAGTTGGATTCTCTTTCCTATGGGACCCTGACTGAATCAGAGACTTAGGAAAAAACCAAATGTTGTCTTCTGTTCTCAGGCAACAGGTCACCAGCAGACTCTTTTAGTTTGGTTTGTTTGGTTTGCTTTGTTTTCAAATAAGAAGAATATGAGGCTGGCCCTGTGATCATGAGCCAGAGGCAGGGAGGAGCTGGGTTTCAGGGAAGCCTAGCTGTAGAGCCACTTCTTTCTGAATTCTTTCTTGGATAACCCTGGCCTGAACTGTACTATCCCTCCTTGGAATTCCTACCACATTGATTGTTTGTACAGCCCTTGTGGCATCTAATAAAGCAAGGCAAACTCCACATGAGCAGGGACTACGTCTTGCTGTTTCTCCCTAGAGCCTAGAATGATGCTAACCTCTTACAGTGTTTAATACATCTTGTTGAATGAATGAAATAGTGTCTTTTTCTTTATAGACGCCACCATTACTCATCAAACATCTACTGAATATCTGTGCACCAGATACTGTCTTGGGCCTGAGGGTTTAGGGATGGATGGAATACTGTCTAGTTCAAGAGATTCTTGTCCTATATACCCTTACCCATACGGTCCCCTCTGCTGAAATGTTCCTTATCATCTGATCCTGTTGTCCCCTTGACAAACTCTGACCATCTTTAAGAATAAACTCAATATCATCTTCCATGACTTCTCCAGGGAAGCTTTATAGAAAGCTGTATTTGCTAAACTTTGGCTTAGCATGTTACTGTAATTATTTACTTTCCTGTGATTCTCCCCTCTGAGCAGCTGAAGAAACATTTACTTATCTGAATTTTTCCAGAGAGTCTAGCAGGGTGCCTGGCTTATACAAATATACAATTAATATCTGCTAATTGATGCTGTTTGTAGACATATGCAGATGAACAGATGGCTTTGATCATCTAAGCTTAAGGTCATCTTTAACTTCCCTTCTCCCATTTTTCTGTGTTGAACATTAAGGTCCTAATGCCTTTTCTTTCTTTCTTTCTTTCTTTTTTTTTTTTTTTAATTTGAACTACCTTAATCTTTCGTACCAAGACTAGTGGTATGAATGAAGCATGAAAGAATTATTGGGATGGTCAGGCATCTCGACACTTTTAGGTTAAGCGATACTCTTCTTCACCTTCCTACTTACTGTTTTTTTTTTTTTAAAAAAATAGATGTTGGAGTGTCACTTCTTGGAAGCCTTTGTCCATGATTGGGATTTCCAAGGCAAACAATCATAAGAGCACATGGGTGGAAATTGCTAGAAGAACCTCATTTCCCAGAGCCTCAGTCTCTTCTGGGGTGACAGTGATTCTGAGGCAGAGCTCTTTAGAACCCTGAGCCTTCCTGTGAATACCTCTGAGAGCAAACAAAGTCAACACAAAAAGCACTTGCTTTATCTGCTATGCCAAGTGCAACTGAGTCTTCAATCGCGCAAAGTACTTCTGGCCAACATTGTAAAAGCTAATGAGAAGGCCTGAATTCACTGTTTATGTTTGCTTCGTTATGCTAATATTGGGTAAACACCTCCCCGGAATGCCTTATGGAGATATACTGCTTTATGTTCTGATTTGAGAGCATTAGATCTTTGAAATTCTGTACTGTAAAATTAAGATGTTCTGCCACTTCTATGTCTATTTACGAGGTTCCTATCAATAAAATGACTAAAGGATTTATCTGGGTAGATTTGGTATTTAAACCCTTGTTAACAGCTATATCAGTAGAAAAATAATGAGCAAATTCATCAACTGTGCTGAAGTTTTTATTCCTTTCCCCTAAGGTTTGGATCATCGTAATTAATAAAGAAAAGAAAATATATTTGCATTTCCCTAAGCCTTATATAGCACATCAGAGGAAGGCTCAGTAAACACACTCTTTCCCTCATCAAGGCTGAAAGACAATTTAGCATTGCTCCTGATATTGCTAAAATACTTTAAACAAAAGAAAACAACACAACCAAAAGTGGAGTTGGTATTGATTTTCTCTGATTTAGAGATCACTGAATTGTTTTATCTCCCCTCCAAAGAGTCCTCTCATGCACGCTAATGTTGCATATCCCTATGCTATACACCCCTAGGAAACCCTGGTGGCATAGCGGTTAAGAGTTCTGCTGCTAACCATAAAAGTCAGCAGTTCAAATCCACCAGGCGCTCCTTGGAAACCTTACGGGGCAGTTCTACTCTGTTGTACAGGGTCGTCATGAATTGGAATCGACTTGACAGCAATGGGTTTTGGTTTGGTTATATACCCCGAGGGAAAAATCGGTCATGGAAGAGCCAACAACCACCAAACAGCTACTGGGAAGGCTGCAGTCCCAGGTCTACCCTGAGGTGGGGATGGTTCTGGGTGAAGGACTGGGATACCAGTCTGGTGTTGGTTTTCTCTTGGTGACCTCCAGGACAGAGCTCTGCTCCCTCTCCCGCGCCCTGAGGAGGAATTGGGGAATTGAGTAGGGTACTCTGTACCTGAGTAATCATTCCTGAGGCTTCAAACTGGGCACTGCATTCACCTTCATGGTAGGCCTCTTTACAGTCCCGGCAGAACACAAGCTGCAAAAGAAGACACATTCGTTAGAGAGGAGCTTGCTGGTTACAGGGGACCCTGGGTGCTGCAAATGGTTAACATGCTCGACTGCTCATCAAAGGTTGGAGGTTTGAGTTCACCCAGAGGAGTCTTGGAAGAAAGCCCTAGTGATCTGCTTCTGAAAAGTCAGCCACTGAAAACCCTGTGGAGCGCGGTTCTGACACACACAGAGCACGGTTCTGACACACACAGAGCACCGTGGGTCAGAGTTGACGTTACAGCAACTGGTTTTACTGGTTACATTTGACCACAACATGTTTTTCTTCCTTTTTCCTCTTCCAAACACATCACATTCACTCCTCTGACTTGAGTGATGGTTTCTATGCCAAAATTGCTTTTTGCAAAGAGGAATGAAGTGATATTTTCATGGGACAGTGTCTTAGTCATTTAGTGCTGCTCTAACAGAAATACCACAAGCGGATGGTTTTAACGAAGAGAAGTTTATTTCCTTACAGTCAAAGTAGGCTAAAAGTCCAAATTCAGGGCATCAGCTCCAGGGAGAGCCTTTTTCTCTCTATTGGCCTTCTTCTCTTCGGTGTTCCCCCAGACTAGGAGCTTCTCGGTGCAGGGACCCCGGTCCAAAGGATGCGCTCTGCTCACGGCACTGCTTTCTTGATGGTATGAGGTCCCCAACTCTCTGCTTGCTTCCCTTTCCTTTTATCTTTTGAGAGATAAAAGGTGGTGCAGGCCACTCCCCAGGGAAACTCCCTTTACATTGGATCAGGGATGTGACCTGAGTAAAGGTGGTGTTACAATCCCACCCTAATCCTCTTTAACATAAAATTACAATCACAAAATGGAGGACAACCACACAATTCTGGGAATCACGGCCCAGCCAAATTGATACACATTTTTTGGGGGACATAATTCAAACCATGACAGACGGTTCACCCTTGACTAGAGAATGTTTCAAGCACTGTGCAAGGCAGCAGGCTTACAAAGATGCATGAGTCATGTTTTCTTTTTCCAAGATGTTTCCAATCTAGTGGAAGAGACAGTTGTGCAAATAAGTATCTGCAGTGAAGTGTTATTGGTGTTAGAATATGAGGACAACAACTTCATTCAAGAACTTCACATCTAATGCTTGGTTACATACATGGGGGATTTAAAGGTCTAGGTTAATGGACTTATTTCTGTACTGAAGCCTATTATGGAGGGAAGAGGGGGCTGACATGGAGTGTTCTCATGCGAGTGACAACTGCCCTCCATCTTTCATCTGACAAAAAAGGAGGCTGAGTGCCAGAGGGGCTCGGTCAAGGTCTACCTGTCTTAGTAAGGTGTTTGGGACCATTAGGCCCCCCAGAAAGAACTTCCAGTTTCCATCGTCACCAATCCCACTCTGGAGGCTGCTGTGGTGGGCAACTGTGAGAACCTGGGGATGTCACCTTGGTTTCTGTGCCTCAGTTTCCTCCTCTGAAAAACCAGGATAATGATGATGATCTCATATGGCCATTGTGAGGATTAGGTGGGATAATCCATGCTGAGTGGCTAGGACCATGCCTGGTACACAATATGTTCTGAAGTTTGAGGAGATGCCAGCCAGGGACAATTTCTCCCCTACTGTGTTTCATAGCTGGGGAAGGAGTTTCTTTACTAGAAAGCCAGTCATCTCCACACACATTTTGTTACCTAGTCGGGGCAACATCTCTCACAGCAGAAACTGTTTTCAGAGAAGATGTCCTGGCAGAGACAAGAACAAGTCCATGAGTACGGTGCGTGGGTGACTGTGGTGGTTTTAGAGCACAGACTGAAAATTATTGGATACTGATCCCATTGAGGGGTAGGCTCTATGTCCCGCCCCTTTAAATCTGGACGCTGTGACTGTTTGCCCAATAGAACATGGTGGAAGAGAAGGAGTGCCTCTTTGCATACCCAGGCCCCAACAAACCAGCAGCTTCCATTTCCTGTCTCTTAGGAAGCTAGCTCTTGAAGCCCAGCTGCCATGCCATGAGGAAGCCCAACAGCCCATGAAGAGGCCCTGGCAAACATCCCTGGCTGAGCTATCAGTGGACAGCTAGCATTAGCTTGCTAGTCCTGTGAATAAGTCACCCATCAAAAAGTGGATCCTCCAACTCCCAGATGAGCAGTCCCCGCTAACCTCATGCGGTACAGAGACAAGCAAGCTGCCCTCATAGAACCCTGTCCAAACTGCAGGTTTGTGGGCAAAAGCAAAACAGAAACAGAAACAAGATTGCTATTGTTTAAATCACCAAGTTTTGGGTTGTTTCTAACACAGCAATAGGTAACTGATACAATAATGGCACTAAAGGTCTACAAAACTCAAGAGATTCCCAGAGGCTGGGAGCTTCTCCGATTAGCGTCCTAGAACATAAGCCAGGAAGTCAGACTAGTTTTGCTTCAGATGGCTTTGAACTGAAAAACAAAAACAAAAAAAATCCAGAAACAAAAAAAAACAAACAAACTCATTGCCATTGAGTCGATTCCAACTCATAGCGACCCTACAAGACACAGTAGAACTGTCCCATAGGGTTTCCAAGGAGCGGCTGGTGGATCAAACTGCCGACCTTTTAGTTAACAGCCAAGCTCTTAACTACTGCGCCACCAGGGCTCCAAAAAAACCAAACACCGAAAAACAACACCAAGATGGGGCTAAAACCAGCTGTAACCCCAAATCCTGACTCTTTTCCATTTTGATGCCTCTCTTCCTCAAAAAGAGCAGCCTGTACAACATAACCTTTCCTTCATGTTGCCTTCACTGCATGAACAGATTTTCCTCCTTCTCTATGTCCAATTTTCAATTTCCATTGGAAAATTATTTTAATTTCAGGGTATAACAAACAAAAAGGAAGAAATTCTATAAGGAAATGACCTCTTCTACAGAGGCATGGAGTCCCAGCGTGGTGCAAACAGTTAATGAGCTTGGCTGCTAACTGAAGGTTGAAGGTTTGAGTCCACCCAGAGGAGTGTGCAAGAAAGGCCTGGCAATCTACCTCTAAACAGTCAGCCACTGAAAACATTATGGGGCACAGTTCTATGGTGACACATTTGGGGTCACTATGGATCGGAATGGACTCGATGGGAACTTTTTTTTTTTTTTTTGGTGGCTCTGCATGGTTCACACGTTAGGATGTAGAGCTGGAGCTCACTTGCAATAATGCTATGTATTCTTGTGTCTCCTCTCCACCCCAAATCTATTATCCTCCACTTGTATAGAGCATTCTCAGACTTTGTTTCTTCGTCTCTGATAACAAACAGCATTGTTTCCAAAACAAAACAAAACAAAAATTCAGGTGGGGTGAGCGTGGTGTGATGAATTACTTACTATGGCCTTTCCCACCATGGTCTTGTATCTCCCACCCAGGTGACTGGGAGGGGCTGTGCAAATAAGATAATTGTGGCCCACTGAGGATATTGATCAGTTTTGCCTTAAAAGAGAGCCAATTCCAGAGACGAGAAGAGCCCACCACCACCAAGGAAGGAGAGACCTGCAGGAGATGGCGCAGTAGGCTTCCCAGCCCATGGAAGGAGAAAGCTGAGTGTCTCTGGGCAGAGGCTGAGGGCCAGCAAGAAGTCTATGCATGACCCATGAATTTGGGACTTGCCAGCTTCCCCAACCGCGTGAGCCATTTCCTTTTGATTGTGAGTTCTGTGAGACGCTTCAGCGATTTAGGGAACCCAAAGACAGGAGGGAGAGTACTGAGGGAAGAGGGAGTAGTTGATGTTCGAGATAATGGAGTGGTACAGCAGTTGGAAAAGTTGGACAGTTGGGACATCTTTAACCTCTGCCTCATAGGAACCAGCTTTGTCCTGATCTTTATGAAAGAAATTGTTTAATTTCCTTACACAATCACCAACACCAGAATGTTTTAGTGTATGACAGATTCATTTTCTCTAAACTGAAATCCAATCTAATGAACAGTGAATAAATCAAGTCCTAGGTCTTCCTCCTAATTTTTTTTTTTTTAATGTATCTGCTAATCTCAGGGCTCACCGCAGACCCACCACTCTGCTCTTCTGAGTTAAAAAAAACACATGGACCACGAGGTTTAATCACTGAGAAGACCTCGATGTGTGATTTCATCATCCTCTTCCTGTGGAGACGAGGCTGCTCTCTCGCTGTGACAGGGACACTCTTCACATCTTATTAGCTATCGGATGAGATATAAAATCAGTTTCATGGTGGAGGAACACCCTGGAGGTTGATCAGTTTGTCAGAATAAATAGGCCCTTCCTGACACAAATACATTAAATTCCCTTTCACACCGGTGCTACAAAGGATGGACTATAAAGAAATAACAGAAAAGAGCACCCAAAAATGAAAGCCTCCCCATTTCAGTGTGGCAACAGCCGCGCAAAAGCTGCAGGAATACACGACTGATCATTTAACATCCACACACTTCTTGTTTTGCTTCTGTCCAGAGAGTATAATTTATATCATGCAGTGGGTCTTTCCCAGTAAAATAATATGAATCTATCACATACAAAATGGAGAAATATCTAGAGGTCTAATTTGATCTCTGAAATGGTCAGGTTTTTAAATACATTCCCCAGAACTCAAGACTCTTAACCAGGTGCTTGTACCAATGCTTAGGTGCCCAAACTTTTCACCCAAGCACCCTGGGGTGCCCCAAAAAACTCACAGGGGTGCCTGGGCTGTTTGAACGTGTTGAGGAAAACGCAGCCATGCTCGACATCTGTTGGACTGCATGTGAGTTACTAACCCACAGGGTGTCCAAGGAGCGGCCGGTGGATTTGAACTGCCGACCTTCAGGTTAGCGGCCATAGCGCTTAACTGCTGCGCTTGCAGGGCTCCAACTCAAGGCAGTTCACAGTATTAATGCAAACTGCGCTCCTTTCCTTTTGAAGACTTTGCAAAGCTAGTTTTTGGAGGTTACTGCATTAAAAAAAAACAAGTACCATGTGAAAATCAATTTGGAACAGAAAATGTAGTTATTTAAGAACAAATAAAAGTATATTTTTCTTTCAGTGTATGTGCATTGTATTT